GTGGGGGGGGGGGGGCTGAGGGAGGGGGCAGGAGGGCTCAGGGGTGGGGGGGCTAAGGGCAGGGGCAGGAGGGCTCAGGGCCAGGGGGGCTCAGGGCAGGGGCAGGAGGGCTCAGGGCAAGGGGGCTCAGGGCAGGGGCAGGAGGGCTCAGGGCAGGGGCAGGGGGACTCAGGGCAGGAGGGCTCAGCGTGGATCAATACCCAAAGGGTGGGAGCAGGGGTGTCCTTCTAGTGAGGAAACTGCCCAGCTCACCGCTCTCCTGTCTCCAGATCCTGGTGTCCCAGCACTCAGGAGTGGAAGCCCACAGCCACAGCTATAGCCACAGCTCTTCTTCACTCAATGAGGAACCCGAGGCCTCAGGGATACCCAGCCACGCCACTTCCCCAGTGCTGGAGGTCAGGCATCGCCTACCACATGGTGACAGGTAAGGGGACTGGGATGGAGATGGTATGCAGGCAAGAATATGAAGTTTGACTCCTAGACGCTATGCTGTCTGTCTGTCTTTCCACAGCCCCTCTGAGGCTCCTGTTGGGCCTCTGGGCCAGGTGAAGCTGACAGTGTGGTACCACAGTGATGAACAAAAGCTGGTTAGCATCATCCACAGCTGCCGGTGAGACCCTGCCCACCTGTCCTCCTCTGCAGTCCCCACGTCCTTTGCAACCAGTGCTTCAGTGACCACATCCTTTTGTCACAGGGCCCTTCGACAAAATGGCCGTGATCTCCCAGATCCCTATGTGTCACTGCTGCTACTACCAGACAAGAATCGAGGCACCAAGAGGAAGACCTCACAGAAGAAGAGGACTCTCAACCCCGAGTTCAATGAACGGTCAGTGAATGGGTGATTTATTTTTTCTTCGAGACAGGGTTTCTCTATGGCTTTGGAGGCTGTCCTGGAACTAGCTCTTGTAGAACAGGCTGGTCTCAAACTCACAGAGATCCTCCTGGCTCTGCCTCCTGAGTGCTGGGATTAATGGCGTGTGCGAGAATGGGGGATATTAATGGGTGATATTTACATGGAGGGGTGAGGCTTTGGCTGGGCCCTGAGTTCTAATGTCTAGTGCCTTCACAGGTTTGAGTGGGAGCTGCCCCTGGATGGGTCTCTCAGGAGAAAGCTAGATGTTTCAGTGAAGTCAAACTCTTCTTTCATGTCACGAGAGCGTGAGCTTCTGGGAAAGGTAAGAGGGTGAGGAGGCAGCAAAAATTAAAGCTGCTAGAACCACAGCGTCCCATTAAGGAGACAGCCAGGGTGCCAGCTGGGACATGGTCCTATCCTCTTGCGGTGGTTCATGATCATGTGACAATGGGGTATGGTCTTTGGAAATGTCAAAATAACATCTTGCCCCCTGCCATCCTCCAACCCAGGTACAGCTGGATCTTGCGGAGATAGACCTCTCCCAGGGTGCAGCCCAGTGGTGAGTGTCTACAGAGCAGCGGGTGGGACTGGGTGGGTACAGTGGAGAAACCCAGTCACAGAAGAGGAAAGATGTAGTGAAAGCTGAGAACCATTCGCCCCCTCAGCGCAGAAGCCCTGGGCCATGCCTTTCACTTAGGAGAGATGACAACTGTTCCTGGTGGCTGGTGGCTGTAGTTCCAGCCTATGAGGAGCTGGAGAGTTGAGAGTCCATACAAGTTCCAGCCAGCCTGGGACAGACAGAATGAGACTGACAGAACAAAACAGATGCAAGAGTCTTAACTCTCCTGAGCTCTGTCCTTGTTTCCTAGGTATGACCTGATGGATGACAAAGATAAGGGCAGTTCCTAGGAGCTGGGGACAGCCCGACATTGCTCTGTCTTCTTGCCTTGCCTCTTGCCTCAGTGTGATGAGCCCACAGCTAGGGCTCCAGGGCTGAGCCTGAACCCTTTTGCCTTCTGGGCCCAAATCGGGGTCTTTGCCTGACCAAAGAGGATCATATGTAACCTTTACTGCACGGCCTTTCCCCTTGGGCTCCTGGGGCAGGGACCTAAGCTGGCTACTTCCTCTTCTGCCTGCACCTCACTCTCCCTTCCCGACTCCTCAGGGCCTCATGCACCTGTGCCTGGCCACTGGTAGCACCAGCAGTGGCACCAAATCATGCCAAATACAGCTTTTGGAAAGCTCTTTTTTACATAATAAAAAATATACAGAAAAACAATGCTTCATGAACTTGCATGTCATCCTTGCACAGTGCCATGCTAAGAGCTAAGTTAGTCTGTGCTGCTGAGTTGAGCCTAAGGTTTCCTGTGACTGCCAGGAGCCACCAGGGAGAACAAACACAGGTGTGAAGGTAGGCAGGCTCCGCTCGCCTCTTGGACTGCATGTAGAAAATGTACGGCTTCACCCACACCGTACTCAGTCTACTCTTGGAAAATATACGCGCTATGACGGCTACATCAGTCTGATTCACTGTGCCTCAACTGGGAACACTGAGGTCTGCCTCCAGGCCATTAGAAATTGGCCTGGAAGGGCTGGAGAGATGGCTCAGAGGTTAAGAGTACTGGCTAGTCTTCCAAAGGTCCTGAGTTCAATTCCCAGCAACCACATGGTGGCTCACAACCATCTGTAATGAAATCTGGTGCCCTCTTCTGGCTTGCAGGCACACATGCAGACAGAACACTTTTCTTTAAGAAAAGAAAAAAGAGGCTGGGTGTTGGTGGCACATGCCTTTAATCCCAGCTCTTGGGAGGCAGAGGCAGGCAGATCACTGTGAGTTGGAGGCCAGCCTGGTTTACAAAAGCTAGTTCCAGGACAGCTTCCAAAGCCACAGAGAAATCCTGTCTCAAAACAACAACAACAACAACAACAACAAAAAAACCAAAAAACAACAACAAAACAAACAAAAAGATCCATTCACTTAGTAGTTAAAGCCTATGAAACTGCAGTAACCAAGGGAATTGGCCCACTGAGCTGGAAAGGGCTCATGTGTGAAGTATCGGAAGGGCAGACTGGAGCTTATCTACTGACCACTGCCGTCTGCCATCCAGAAATCTGCAAGTCCCACCACAGCACCAGGTTCATAAAGTCAAGGATAGCAGCCATATCCAAAGAGGCTTCAGGGCCACCTGAGTCCTGAGAAATATTTCACGTCTGGATCTACTCACCTTGCAAGAGTTATCTTTTCATTTGCTGAAACGGTCTCCTGTACCCCAGGCTGCCAAGGAAGGCTCCAACTTCACGTCTTCCTTCTAAGTGCCGGGATCACAGGTGTGCACTACCACAACTGGCCTGTTTGTCTTAATAAAAAACAAAGCAACAACAGAGTCACATGTTAGCCCAGGCTGGCCTCAAACTCATGGTAGCCCTGCTGCAGCATCCTCCTGGAGAGCTAGAGTTACAAGCATGACCTCTGAGCCATCTCTCTGAGCCATCTCTCCAGCCCAATAATAAATAAATCTTAAGCCGGGTGTTGGTGGTGCACGCCTTTAATCTCAGCACTTGGGAGGCAGAGGCAGGCGAATCTCTGTGAGTTTGAGGCCAGCCTGGTCTACAGAGCGAGTGCCAGGATAGGCTCCAAAGCTACACAGAGAAACCCTGTCTCGAAAAACAAAACAAAACAACAAGAACAACAAAAAGAAGTCTCACTTTGTGGCCCTGGCTGGCCTGGAATTCACAGAGATCTGCCTTAGGGGCAGGAGATCTCTGAGGAGCTCCAGGCCAGCCAAGGCTGTATAGGGGGACCTTGTCTCAAAAACCCAATTTCAAATGAAAGTATTTGAGTTAACTGGACCCCAAGGAAACATCTCCCTTCCGTCATAGCATCTGTTTCAGATCTTTACCATGTTTAGATTCATCTCCTCCCCTTCCTCCTTAGCAAGTCAAATCCCCTCACCGACTTCAGGGTGAAAATGTAAACGGTATGCATGGAAATGCTCCCATCCCTCAGGTCTCTTGTGTCCCTGGACACTAACTGTAGTGTGATATCAGCTCTTGACTTTCTCCAGGTATCCATTCATTCTACAAATATTTCAGGACTGCAATGGACCAGGGGACCTGGTTCTTCTTGATTGTGGACGGTAACTGTGTATGCATGTTCGAGCATGCGTGTGCATGGTGGAAGAGTGCATAAGAGACCAAGGGAATAGCCAGAAATAGGTGGCCCACGCCTTAATCCCAGCACTCGGGAGGCAGAGGCAGGCAGATCTCTGTGAGTTCAAGGCCAGCCTGGTCTACAGAGTGAGTGCCAGGATAGGCTCCAAAGCTATACAGAGAAACCCTGTCTCCAAAAACAAAAACAAACAAACAAAAAGACCAAGGGAACAACCTGAGCAACCAAGATGGTTATCTTAAAGATCTGCAGGCTACTGGGCGTGGCTGGACAGCAATGCAGACAGTACAGGAACTAAATGTTTGAAGCTGAGGCTGTGTTCCCTTTGTGGGCTGGGCCGGCATGCCTGGCAAGAGCTCAGTTGCCACTTAATCTTTATCAAAACACATGAACCCTGGTAAAAGCCTGTGACCCCAGCACTCAGGAGGCTAAGGCAGAAGGACTGTCACAGTTTAAAGACAGAGTGGGCTAATAAGAGAGTTCTAGGACAGCCTTGAATATAGGGTAAGATCCTGTATCAAAAAACAAACAAACAACAACCACTGGCAAAAGGCCTGGTGTGGGGGCAAACGCTGTAACCTCAGTACTTGGGAGGTGAAGGCAGGAGGGTCAGGAGTTCATGGCCATCCTCAGATACACAACCAGTTCCAGGCCAGCCCCGTCTCACAACGAAACAAAAATAAAACACATAGATTACAAATATGGAAGGGTTTCAAAAGGAGAGATGACATAAGACATACATTTCGAGGTGGGTGGGCAAATGGCTCATCTGTTAAAGCCACCTGCCACCAACTGCAAACAACTGAGTTTGACCCCCCCAGAGCCCACACAGTAGGAACCAATTCTCACAAGCTGTCCTCTGACCTTAGCAACCCCCCACCTCCACAAAAACAAAAAGCTTTAGTCCCAGCACTCAGGAGGCAGAGGCAGAGGGATCTCTGTAAGTTTGAGGCCACAACCAAGACTATAAAGAAAGACCCTGTCTCAAAAAAAAGGAAAAAAAAAGATAGTGCATTTTAAAATTATCATTGTTTAGCTGGGCATTGGGGGCGCACACCTTTAATCCCAGCACTCGGGAGGCAGAGGCAGGAGGATCTCTGTGAGTTCGAGACCAGCCTGGTCTACGGAGCGAGTTCCAGGACCACCTCCATAACTACTGGGAAACCTTGTCTAGAAAAACAAAAAGCACAAAGCAAACAAACAAAAAATTATCATTATTTATTAACGCCTAGATTACCCTTGTGTTTGGTAGCTTGTTCTCTGTGCTTTCCAGCAGGCTGAAAAAAAAAAAAAAACAAAAAGAAAAAAAAAGGAAAAAAACCTTTTTTGGAAAAAAAACAAAAAGATTTCTAGGCCCTAGCAGACCTGGAGGAGCAATCTACAAGTCTGCTGGCATACAAAGTTCCCAGGAGATTTAAAAGAACGGCTAAGTCTATGACTTCTGCCTTAGAAAAGGAAACTGGTTTTACTTATTAAAACCAACTTTTCTATTTATATCTTTCATCTCATACAAGTCTATAAAAATAACCTAAGAAGGGCTTCGTAAACTAAGTATGGTAAGACCTCCTCACTTGTCCTTTTGATTGTGGGTTATCTACAGTGTCACGATTTTGACTGCTGTGACAATATACCATGAGCAACATCGAGTCGGAAAGGGAAGGGTTTATTTTGCTTACACTTCCAGGTAACAGTCTATGCCTGAGGGCAGTCAGGACAGGGACTCAAGCAGGGCAGGACCTGGAGGCAGGAGCTGATGCAGAGGCCAGGAAGGGTGCTGCTTTACTGGCTTGTTCTGCTTGCTTTCTCAAGGCACCCAGGACCTCTTCCCAGGGATGGCAACACCCTCAATGGGCTGGGCCCTCCAGCATCAATCACTAAATAAGAAAATGTAGCCACGTGGTGGTGGCGTACACCTTTAATCAGAACACTAGTAGGCAAAGGCAGGCCAATCTCTGTGTGTAAAAAAGCCAGCCTAGTCTACAGAGCTAGTTCTAGGACAGCTAGGGCTACACAGAGAAACTCTGTCTCTAAAAACAAACAAAAAAAGAAAGAGAGAGAGAGAGAGAGAGAGAGAGAGAGAGAGAGAGAGAGGGAGGGAGAGAGAGAGAAAGATGAGAAAAGAAGGAAGAAGGAAGAAGGAAGAAGGAAGAAGGAAGAAGAAGAAGAAGAAGAAGAAGAAGAAGAAGAAGAAGAAGAAGAAAAGAAAGAAAATGCCTTTGCCAATTTCCTGGAGGCAGTTTCTCAATTGAGGTTCCCATCTCCCAAGTGACTCTAGCTTGTGTCAGGGTGACATATGACCACCATGGATCACTGACCCCTTGTCAATTTGACATATAAACACATCATTAATAAGCCATAACCTTTCCCTTTCTGTTTATTTCCAAGATCACATATTAATATCAAAATCACAATATAAAACATTCCAAAACTTAAAAGTACCACTAACTTTAAAAATTCAAACAATAGGGCTGTCAAGAAGACTCAGGAGAACAATGGATGAGCCAGGCACACGACTTTAATCCCAGCACTTGGGAGACAAAAGCAGGCAGATCTCAGTGAGTTCGAGGCCAGCCTGGTCTACAGAGCAAGTTCCAGGGCAGGCTTCCAAAGCTATGGAGAAACCCTGTCTCAAAAAACAAACAAAAAATTAAAACAACAACAAGAAAGAACAATGGATGATCTTCCAGAGGACCTGGGTTCAATTCCCAGCACCTACATGACAGCTCAGAATTGTTTGTAGCTCCAGTTCAAGGGTATCTGGCACCCTCTTGCAGACATATATGCAGGCAAATCATCAATGCACATACAAATAAATTTTTAAAAACCTCAGTGAAAGTCCAAAGTCTATTTAAAATATTCAAAAATTGATCAACTATGGGCTCCTGTAAGATAAAAAATAATGCCTTTAATCCCAGCATTCAGGAGGCCAATCTCTGAGTTGGAGGCCACTCTGGTCTGCAGAGCAAGTTCTAGGATAGCCAAGGCAACACAAAGAAACTCTGTCTCAAAACAAAACAAAAAGTTACTTTCTTACTTCAAGAGGAAGAACCAGCTTACAATTACAATCAGAACAAAGCAAAACCAAATTCCAACAGTATATAAATAACTGGGCATTCAATGTCTGTGATTCACTCCTGATCTGGGCTCTTCCAAAGAGCCTGCCTGGGTCTCCTCTCTGGCTCCACTCTCTGCAGCACACACACAGCTTGTCTTCTAGGCTAGGCTATCTCCACACCATAGCTGTTGCTGTTCTTCGGGGTCATCCTCTAGTACTGGCATCTCTGAAACACTGGGGTCTTCTACTGCACCTGGGCTGCACTTTCACCAATAGCCTCTCCTGGGCTCTCTTCAGGGACCCCAGGCCTGCCATGGTGTCAAGCCTCAGCTGCTCTTGTATGACCTCTTCATGCCTTCAAAACATAGCTAACTGGGTGACTTTTTTTTTTTTTTTTTTAATTCAAGACAGGGTTTCTCTGTAGGTTTGGAAGCTGTCCTGCAACTCTCTTTGAAGACCAGGCTGGCCTGGAACTCACAGAGATCCGACTGCCTCTGCCTCTTGAGTGTTGGATTTAAAGGCATGCGCCACCACTGCCCAGCTAATTGGGTGACTCCTACACTACTGAGTTCAGCTAACAGCATGAGGTTCAACCTTGACTGCCTCTGGAACATAGTTTTTGTGTTGTAACTCTGAGGGAACACTTTCCAGGAGTGTTCGCCTCAATGAATCACAGCTGATTCTTTGGCCCCCGCTGACCAGATAGCCGATTCTTCATGCAAAAGGCCCACAGTCTTTGCTTCCCTCTAAAACTTCACAAGCCAGCCTCTGTGTTCTGCACCACTCCTGATAATTTGTGTCTTTTGAGATCCCACAGAACAGCCCACTTATAGGGTTTGATGAAATGCTGAAGAGTCCAGACTCAAGAACAAAGAGTGTTTAATATTCCAGCATGAGCTAGGCAGTGTTGGCACACCCCTTTAAACCCAGCACTTGGGAGGCAGAGGAAAGCAGAT